TTTAGATTAGAATTTGAGTTAGAATTGTTTTTGGACATAATCGATATTAGGTCTTTTGTGAGGTATTGGATCAATCATTAATGAAAGTAAATTTTTTAATTCTTCTCTGATTGGTAATTATTGAATTTAAAATTGTACTTATTGTTAATTTCTGCAATAATTAAAAATTGATTATTATACTTCCCTTATAGATAAACCTTAATATAGAATAAAATGAATACCATTAAATAATGGTGATTCTTTGAATATTTCAAAAAATAGACATCCTAAAGACCAAATGTCAACAGAAGCTGTATAATCATCTGATCCATTGATTATCTCTGGAGCTTAATACTGTGGGGATCCTACCATTTTTGTCTATCTTAAATTTTGTTCTCTTTGTTTTACTAAACCAAAATCTATTAATTTGAAAATGGAACCTACTTATATAAAGTTTTCAGGTTTAATATCTCTATGAATAATTTGGTATTTATGAAGAAATGCAATTGATTAAGCAATCTAAGATCTAATATCAAATTATTACTTATAAACATATTTATTCTTTTTATAATTATGTTAGTTGACTTTTTTTTAAAACAGAATTCATATCTTTTCCTCCAAGTTCCATAATCAATACTTATTACTATTAATATTCAAACCTTTCATAAACTCTAATCAAATTGCTTTTTTGAAATGCACTTTATTCTGTATTTTTCTAGTAATCAATCAAAAAATCAATAAATTTGAGTTCACCTTCTTTCATCTTTTATTACATTTTCAAAGCAACATCTGTAGAGTAAATTGTTTCATTTACTGATCTTGCTTAATAAACAGCTCCTTCTCCTCCATCTCCTAGAAGTTTACTTAAAACAAAATAACGTTTCGCAAACTAATCTGTCGGAGCTTCCAAAATTGAATTAACTTGCTATTGATAATTATTAAAGTATGTGGAAGGAGCTTATGATTATTGATCTTTTAAATTTTTCAAACCTTCTTTTACTTTTGAGATATCATGTAATTTGTTTTGTATCATTTCTATAATTAAATTTGACATCTATTGCCATGATATATCATTGACTTTCGGAATAATTTCATCATAATTAAAATCATTATGTTTGTCACTTTCTAAATCTGTTACTCCTAAAATAAATTAAAAAATTTACCTTACAACAACTTTTCTCCTTTAGATATTTCATAAAATAAATATCCCAAAGATCTAATATCAATTGATTTTTAATGTTCATCAGCTTTTTAATAGAATTTCTTGAATCCAAAGTTCGCTAATTTAAAGATATTTCCCGCTAGCACGAAATTTTCTGATTAGATCTATCCTTTAAAATACTAATTATTATGCAAAAATAAAATAGCTTCCAAGGTCTATAATAAAAATAAAAGTAATTACTTAAGCACACATGTCAACTTTATCAGATTTACTCAATGATTGGTTCTATTTTAAATAGTTGTATAAATTAAGGCTACTGAATTCGGTGATTATATATGTTTTCTCATTAGCTTAAATTTTTTCATAGATTTCTATAATCAATCCTGCTTATTTCTGTTTTTATTAAGAGATTATCCAATCAATAAATTCTAGTTCAGAGTCTTAATTCTTACTATAACATTTTATAGCAACATTAAGTTCATTTTCATTATCTTTTAGTTTCCCTTCATAAACGATTGTTTCTCCATCATGAGAAAGCATCTGTGATAAGGTATATTACCTATTTGGATATTCCTAAGATTATAATGAATTTTAAGGAGCATATGCCTACATTTTCTTTTTTATTATGTTATAGAATTATATTTAATTTTGATAAACAATTATGATAAAATTTATATCAATAAAATGTATAAAAAATCATAAAAATGTAGATATTTAAAATGAATGCTTTTTAGTCGATAGTTTAATTTGTGTTATTTGTATTATTATTAGTATTATTAATTACTTTTTGGCAAATCACACAATTTTAAAGTGTTTAATCCCAAGTGTATGTATATTTACTAAATAAATAACAATTTGTTTAATCGAATTGTGATACACTTATTGAAAC